TAATCGAGTCTAGGGGTCAAGTGTAACTTTCCAGTTTTGCCCATCAATCTCCAAGGTCCAGGGCAATACTGGAAATCTGGTCCGGTTCAAAGATTCAATTAATCCTACACTGCATGTGCCTTTGGTCTTACCCTGGCGGTTGAGACAGGCCACCTCAACATTTGGCAGCACATCAGTGTCAGCCTTGGCAGGATAAATCTCCCCAGACTTATCCAACGGCTGTAAACATTCTAAATTAACATGAGTCTCATAAGTGTCCAATTTAAAGGAATTACACAGAAACACACCACAGGAACATGAATCAAATATGTACTTTATTCATTTACAATAAATTCATAATGTATATTATTTTGATTGAAGCTAAGGACATCTAACACGACAATACTAAAATCAGGTTAAGTAGTAATTTTGTTTAATTTTTAGTTTATTTACAATTATTATACTTTTAATTTGATTTGGTTTAATATGCAAGTAATAAGGCAACGTGTTGAATGAAAGGCCACATGTTGCCTGATATGGACACGTTGTCTAACAGGGTGCATTCAACGCTTCAACCTTCAAAATCTTCGGCGAGATCATCAATTTTTATTTTATTTAGAATTAATGTATATTTAATTTGATTTGATTTAAGGCAATGTATTGGATGGAAGGCCACGTGTTGCCTATTTTGATTTCATTTAATTTTTGTTTTATTTCATTTATTATTTATCTTAATATTTTCTATTTTCATTTATTTTTTTTATAGCAGACAACTGAAAGTCTGAAATGTTGACTTGATGGCTGACTGGTTGCGGTGATGACTGGTGGGAGCGGTTCAGTGATAATTTATGCGAATATATTAATACTCTGTGATAATTTGCCTTAATTAATTTAATTTTTCTTTTATTTCATTTATTGATTGTATTAATATTATATATTTTCATTTATTTTTTATTTTTCTGATACGCGACAACTGAAAGTCTGAAATATTGACTTGATGGCTAACTGGTTGCAGTGATGGCTGGTGGGAGCGGCTCAGTGATAATTTGTCAGCAACGAATATATTAATACTCTCTTAACTAGAGTTTCTCTTCACATCACACTAGCTCTTCTTCACATTACAGAAGTCTTCCTCACATCACAACATCAGAGTAAGTTTGAAACAATCTCTGAACTGGTTTAACCTGAGTACCTTTGGGCTTCAAAACTCCGCTAGCTAGACTTTATAGTATCATTATTTAGATACTATAGGCTATGCCACAGGATTTTTTTTAACATTTTCTGCAATCAGAAATAGTATTTGATTTGTAGTGTTTTAGGGAAGGGGAGAGTTTTATTAGGATTGGATCAGAGTAGTGGTGGATGCTAAATTATCACCTGGGCCCAGAACTGGATTGGATCAAATTGGTACTGTAGATGTACTTAAGTATCGATTATGAGTTCTTTTCCCTTTTCTTGTCCTTAGCTTTTTGTAATGGGTTATGTTTTCTTTTTTTATTTGCAAAGATTGAGCAAATAGACAATAGGTTAACTCTAATATGAATTCTTGTTCAAGCATTGATCATATTTTGTTGTTCAAATATAGTGTAATTTTTACTATTAATTTAATTAGCCATCTGAAGGGATATAAATTCGTAGCATAGAAATTATAAAGTGAAAAGTGAATAAAAAATAAAAGAAATTAAACACATAAAATACTAAGATTAAATGATTAGTATATAAGATGGCTAGATTGACAAAAATTAAAGATGGTGCAGATGGATGATTCATTGAAAAGTTCCAACCATATACATATGTTTCCCAATTCAAAACTTTTCACAGTTTAGGCAAATATGCAATTATTGCAGTTAAGCCTCAAGACTTTTCCAAACCTAACAAATATTTACTTTTAGTCTTAAAATAACCCTAGGCCAGTAATAACCACCATCCTGTAGTCAAAGCAAGTGGCCCTACATAATTTGGTGAATTGAGAAAATAAGTGCTTCCTTTTATGATTCAACATAATTAGTTTCATGTTGGAACAAAAGTTAGGATCAATCTGGAGAATCTTTAACTCTTCAACCCCACAAATCAACCTAATGACCCAAAAATAAAACAATGTCCATTTTGGGTATTTGATAATTGTACAAATTGGTTTTTGTTTTGCATATATCATGCAGTATGGTTTTGTCAAGTTAACTATGATGCCCAACAATCAAAAGCAGCTTACTATTAGTAAAGTCGAAGATATTGACAAAGAAATTACAAACTAATGTTTCTAAATATTATTTTTTGGATCCATTTTATATAATCATGTAAATATGAGGTTTTTGAATGCATATACATTATAACGGATATCTGTAACATTTAAGATTTGGTTTGCTGTCAAATCCAATCAGAATATGTTTGCTTCAAAAAATGTTTTGAATCACTTTCCAATAATTAAATATGAAATTTTTTTCTATTTGCTCAAACAAGAAGACAGAAAATTAAATACTGAGTCAATTCTCAAAAATGTTTTGAGTCTATTTGGTTTTTGTGATTTCTTGGCCGCCAATGTCACTGTAGATGTGGAAAAACTTGTTTTTGGTTTTTCCCTTGATTTTTTCCATTTTAATATAAATATAGTTTGAGTTCTTTCTCAATCCCTTATTTGTATATCTTTTCCAGCTTCAATAGTTGTATTTCTACGATCACCATTCTTCATTTGAGGTGGAACCGCTAATTGGTTAGGCTTCCAAGCCGATATTCTTTAAATATTTTTCTCTCCCACTCGTCCTCTAAATGCTACCACCATCACCTTTTGTATGCACATTCCATTTCTCCCTTGTACAAAGACCTCTTTATTCTAAATTTCTTAATCTTTCACATCTTAAACCTAACATTGCTTTCTCTATCTCTCTCTCTCTCTCTGGAACCTCATTAGGTTTCCTCCATATGTGCAGGGAGGGGTTCAATGTTTATATAACTATCTTTATTTATTAAGATTTTCCTAATCATCAAGTTTATATTCGTCAGTATTTAAGCTTTACTCTTTTTCTAAATTCCATTTAAATCCTCAACACTTCTGTGATTGGATTTTATCAGCCTATGCAGTCAGTTGTATCTAATTATTTTATCTTCATATTAGGTCTCATTTTCAGTTTTGTCAAATCCAAAAGTGTTTAGCATATTAGATTGTTCCGATGAAAACACTTGGCAAACTCTAAGTCCACACAGATACAACTTCACCTCATCTATCCATAAAAAGAAGTTTGAGTTAATATCCCTATTATGCTACAACAGTCCAACAACGATTATATCAGTTACAATTCATACCCATGTGAAATTGCACATGAAACCCATAAAAATCACTTACAGAATAGGGGCATTCATAACATGTGTCAATTATTCTCTAACTTCTCATATATAGACTCTACAGTAATGCATTCTCCACATCTTCAAACGTAACGTAATGTTTGATTTATTTGAGGGAAAAATAAATGATTTACAAATATTAGATTTGAGGAGAAAATAGAAAATAAAATGTTAACCATTCTTTAAAACATTTTGTCAAATATGTTGTAGGCAGGTGAACAAGCTAGGCAGAACAGGCAAACTGGATGGGCGGGTGGAATGCATGAGTGGGTGGGTGGGCAGGGCGTGTTACACGTGATGAGCGGATAGGTTAGGTGGGCAGTCAAGCATTTTGTTGGGGGATTTTGATTTGTATGATATCTGAAAAACTTCTGATTAATCAACTGGAACTTACGTGGTAGCAATCAGGTGTTGTTTATCAAAATTCATGGATATCATATTTTTCGGCAATATCCAACGATGGGCCATAGCTTCCTTGGACTGCGAAAACACATCCAACCAGTTCGTTTGAAAAGGAAGAAAGCTTCTGAAGCTTGGTTATCCTCTTGGATTTGTCGTAATCATTGCCGTTGAAGAGAAACTACCACTAAGAGGTGTCTTTGTCCATTGTCTGAAAAGGGGTGAAGTGAAACCGTCATTTAAGCATGGATCCTAAAAGGGTAATTTAGGAATTTAAAAAACATACATGTCACATGCTAGCATAAGTTGTAATTAATCAATTTGTTAATTAAGTATTTTATCCTTAAAAAAAATAAAATTATAAGTTTAACCCATTCTAGCCCGTTGAAGGATCAAAGTTATATTTTGTATGTATTTATACTGTACATATTTGCATTTGTACTGCTTTCAAATTGAATCTTAGAAAATGCATAAAAAATGCCCCAATGCAAGTCTACTGGTTGAATTACACATTCAATTTACAAAACTAACCTCTATCACTGAGGTATAAGGACTTCAAGTTTCAAAATATAGCTATTAAAGTTATGTTTGATTTAAAAGAAAAAGATAAGAAATGGGAGCGAAAGATAGGGTAATGTATACATGGTTTGTAAGGATTTTTCTGCCTCTCCCTTCCTTTTTTTATTTTTTCCTTCAAACCAACCACAGCCTAAGTGATTAGGAAAAGGGTAACTTCGTACCTTTCTGTAATTTTCATTTACAAAATGCACAAAAAATGCCCCCATTAAGAAAAGGGTACCATAAAATACAGGGGTGAGGATTTTCACAAAAAATGCCCCCATGCAGGATCGAACTACAGACCTTCAGTTTACAAGACTGACGCTCTACCACTGAGCTATAGGGGCTTTGGGTGTTCAAAACTCGGAAATAATATAACAGTAGATTGGTTGTCCGCAACACAATGCAAACACACGGAGAGAGAGAGAGAGGGACCATCCATCATCCATGGCTTGAAAAGGAGGAGCAAGCGCTGTCCCAGAGATGGACAAGATGAGTCTGGAGCAGTTGAAAGCTTTAAAAAATCAATCTGATCTAGAGGCGAATCTGCTAAAGACAACTTGAGCAGTATCTTAACTGCTACTGTTCGTCTCGTGATATATTCCAATGCTCTTCATGATCTTTCACTCCGTCCCCAAGGTTCTCCCTCTCTAGATCTCTTTCTCTCTCGCACAGATACACACAAACACTACAGACCAGGACTTCAATCTTCAGTCTGTTTTTGTTCTCTTGATTTTCAGCGATTTCAGGGTTGTTATTTTATTTTCGAAATTGAATATAGGGAAGAAAATGCTGGTGTCGCTTACGGCTTTCCTGGGATACTTGACGATGCCGATAAGTTTTTAGTCGGTGTTGGCACTGGATACTTCATCGAGGTTAATTGGTACGGCTTCTCTTTATGTTCCTGGGATGCTTGACGATGCCGATAAGTTTTTATTCGGTGTTGTCACTGGATACTTCATCGAAGTTAGTTGGTAGGTTCATATATTGTAGCTTAATTTTGTTTAAATTCCTCTCCTCGGGGGCTGGCCTGGCCCAGCTCGTTTTATATCGGGCTTGGACAAATTTTCAAACCTGCAGGATTGGGCTCGGGCTGCAAACACCGGGCCGATTTTTTTGAGTTAGGCTTGGGCTTTTTCAAATAAGTCCAACCCGAGATAAGCCTAACCCAATAATATTATATAATATATTATAATATGATTAGAAGTAAAAAGAAGTATTATATTATTAATATATTATCAAATTTCAGTTTAGATTGGGCTTTATATAAGACTAGGCTTAGTCATTTTTTGTTTATAAAGAGGTAAAGCCTAATCTGAACCTGTCTTGACCCAGCCCAACCCATGAACAGGTTTACTTGTGATTGTGAATACCAATACATGACATTCAATGATTCAAGTGCCCGTAAAGTGATGTTTTGATAGTTTTCTCCTCGGAAAAAATTGGATAAAGTATTTAGGAAAACTTGGTGAAGTTATCCTTAATATATGACATTTAAATTTCCTGGTAGTAAGTTTTGAATTTCGGTTTCTTCCAAGTTTTCTTTTTTGCTTGATCATTTAGTAATGTGGTTTCTGCTTTTTATCATGCATGTTATTACATGGAAAGTTAGGATACAATTAATGTTGTTTTCTTTCTTGCAGTTCTGCTACCTGATCGGATTTGGGTTCTTCTCTTTAAAGTCTATTGAAGAACTCCCTGTGCATCTCATTTAAATTTCCCACATTAGTTTTTTCCTTTTTGTTTTTATGTATAGAAATCTTTCATTCTAAATTTTTGTGGTATCGATGTGATACCCACACTTTTAATTTTTGGCTTTTTTTATTTATTTTTTGGCTTTATTGGTGTGGTCTCAAGATGTTTTGATAGTTTTCTCCTTAGAAAAAATTGGATGAAGTATTTAAGAAAGCTTGTTGAAGTTATTCCTAATATATGATGATGAAGGGAAATTTGGCCCGACCTCGTGATCGCCCGACACGTGGCAAAGGCAAGCAGCTCGGGACAGTAGAGCGTCCAAAGCGAACATCGGAAGCAAGTCCAAACTCACTACCGAGCCCAAGCTCCAGACCGCTGTACTTAGTCCGAGCTCCTTGTTAAGAGTGAGCTCCCTGTCAAAGGCCCGAGCTCCCTAAGTCTGAGCTCCCTACTAGGAGCCCGAGCTCCCTGTTAAGAGCGAGCTCACTGTTAAGGGTCCGAGCTCCCCAAGAACCCGAGCACCCTAAAATTCGAGCTCCCTATTAAAAACAAACTCCCTACTGGGAGTCCGAGCTCCCTATTAAGAGCGAACTCCCTACTGAGAACCCGAGCTCCCTGCAAGGAGCAC